AAGAGTCTCTAGTAATTTTGTCCCAGATTGTAGCCTCATATATGTTTAATTGAACCTTTCTGTGATCTGATTTCTCACACGTGCACAACAACAGAAGGATGCAAAAGTATAGAGCGCTTTGAAGAGGTGAATGTGCCAAGAGTTGCTTTTTGAAAACTAAAACTTGATAAATAAACCCTTTGGTGTTCAGTTTTTGGCAACAAAATAAACAGAACAAAACAAGTCCTTGGCGAAACGACATTCTAAGCACCAGGCCATTTCTTGAATCTTTTTAATGTGTTGTGCCTACGTACTTTTAGTGTGCTACTCTTAGTATCATTGTTTTTCTTTGATTGTTCTTTTTTTTTACAGGACTCTGTTTAAATTAGATCCACGCTAAACCAGATGTTCCTGTATAAATAAATATATAAATAAATAATTATATATAAATTATAAACTGTTTAGTCTAGTCTCTAAACTTGATTTCACACATTGTGTAAAATAGTGTTATTTTGCAATTAATGTTTACCATTACATGTGCCAATTCCAGGGGACAAAGTGTGTGTTCATCCATCTTTGGATAACTCCAGCCGCCTTCTAAGAATCATACGAAGTAAAGGCTCAGATGTGCTGTATGTGGGTGATCCTCTGCTACTTCAGTACACAGGTAAAGTAAGAAAAGGCTTTATAGACCTTTGAACCTTCATCACAGGGTATTTATAGAGATCCATTTATGGTTGATCCTCTATGTGTGGCCACCTCTCGTAAGCGATCAACCACATATCCAAAACACCAAAATTTTCCCAGTGAAATCGCTAAAATTTGCAACAAGGAATAGTCTGCTCTGACAAGTAATTAATTGAGCAGAGCGAGTTCCTCTTTCTCTGACTACTGACAAGAGGTATAATCCATTAACACTCGCTTCATCCGGGCTAAATAATTATAAGTTTTTCTTCGGAATATGTGTACTTTTGGAATCCTTATTGCAGTTTTGACAAGTGTCAATGTATTAAACATGACAGTGTTTTATATGCTAACATGTTCAGGGAAATGCTCATGTGAACCCAAAAGAAGTTTGTAGACCATGCAAAAGGAGAACATGAAAGTTACTGGTGTTCTGTTTAATTTTTTTTTTTTCTGCCGGCTACCTTTTAGCATTTTAGCCAGTGTCAGCAATGAGAGTTTTTTTTATTAAACAGTGTATTGAGTATATTCTTTTATTGCACAGTTTAACTCAACTAAACTGCAGCTGGGTACATGCATCTGGCTTCTTTTTTTCAGTGGGAGTCATAAATTATCAACGGCGGAACACGCTTCTTCCTATGGAACTTCCAAATATGGTAGAAATGTTTTTAATGTATCCTTTGGATTCAAGAATAATAGTTATATTTTAAACTCAAGGGTGGGATGGCAATGTATTCTGGGTTAAAGTGATGGGGAGATGCAGTTGGGCAGTGTTAAATTTTTATTGTCTATGTTTTTTTTTAATACCATTTGCAGTAATTTTTTTTTTCCGTTCTGGCAATCAGTTCCACCAACAACAACCAAAATTTTTTTTTTTAAAGAAAACAAGTTTTCTAATAGCATATTATTTTCCCATATTTAATAATATGCTTAGCAATTGAATGAAATAACTGAAAGTGTTTGTCTGTATGACCTATCACTATAACTGGTGAAAATAAAAACCCTGATACATGTATGTTCCACTTGAACAATAATCAAAGGGAAGGCTTTTGTGAACTGTCCAAATTTACATACAATGTCTGGTCTCATCAGTTGTGTAGCTGGTTAATGTTTAAGTGCTGAGGAATCAAGCCAATGCCAGCTTTGCAACATCTGGGTAGAGATGTCAATCTTTTGACTCAACTTCAGCTGCATTTATGTGTGTCCAACATGTCTAAAATAGTCCATTTTCGAGTTCGCGATGACCGCTGAATTAAAGAACTGAAGACGCATTTTTTACAGCGTTAGCCTCCATCTGAAGTAATATTGTACACTTGCTTGCCATAATCTCAGAATATGTTACTTCACGTCGAGGCTAACCCTGTATGAATTGAGCATTTGAACATTTTTTATTTTTATATCACCAGCACAAATTCACTGCACTATTTTTTAGCGCACATAGCACGAGCACAGCACATATCTGCTGAAGATGGGCTGTACTGCCCTTTGCGGATCAGACATTTAGATTTTAGATTTAGATGAATGTGTCGTTAATGTTTGTATTCAGCGGTAATTTTTAATTCGAAACTGGACTATTGATTGGTTTTAGTTTTACAGCTGCCCTGAGCTAAGAACCATTCCACACAATGAAATGAAAGCTTTAAGTTATAGGAAGCCATTTGTTTTTTGTCCTTGACTTAATTAAGATATTTAGTTTCTTTATCTGGGGCTCTAGCTCTGCTTAACATGGTTCCTTGTTATTCACTAGATGGACAGTGGGCGTTATTTGCTTTTGTAGATCATACTCTTACAACATACATCCCTCATGAAGATCAAAGAAATATGCTCTGCAATGTCATTCTTACACTTGGAACGCTGTTACTTGCAGCAAATATAATGCTGGCACTGTGGACATTAGGGAGCATTTAACGACAACATTTATCAATAGATTTTTGTAACCATTACATTTATTTATTCTCAACAGAGACTAAAGACTAAAGATTATTATAGTCCATTCATTTATTCATAATTTTAGATGTACGCACATCCGAGTTTTTTCGAAAGCAGTGAGTTCGTAAATAAATCCTCTACCTTTTAATGATACTCTATAATTATCTGATCATGTCTTGACAGTGGAAGTCTGTACATCAACCAACCCAGTCTTATTACGGAATGCCGCTTAACATTGTACATTCTGTAATGCGGCAACCCTTATTCATGTCCTACAATTTTAATGCATTAGAACTAGGTTCATTGTTTTCCACTGCGACGGCTGGGTTGTGCGAAACCTTTGTGCTTGAGTAATGTTGCTTTTACCTTCTGGTGTGACAAAACAAATATAAAATAGATTCAAAAACCGTAAATTTATTGTTGCTCTGTCAGAGCAGATTTACTTCTACAGAGAGCCGACGATGAAATTATTCTAATTGCATTAGAATAGGTGAATTATTTACTTTCTCAAGTTATGTGAACGAGCTAAATTGTCTTGTGTCTGGTACAGCAGGCTAACAGCACTCATAAGTATTGACTGGTTATTATAGGAAAAAATTGACTGCAATTAACTGTTAAAAAATGAAAAGAATTCGTTTTATGGCTAACATATTTTTTTATTTACTTCTTCATTCAACCGAACTTGTCGCTAGAGCGTTTATTACTGTTAGTATTTTGTTCTAGGTCATGTACGACCGTACGGTTGTGCAGAAGGATCGGGATATTTGTTGATAACAGGTCTCTTTTTGTAGCTTTTTACCGAAATTTTTTAGTGAAGTGCATTAACTGAAAAAAGCGACAAGGAGTTGTCAGGATCCTTAGATATGCCTGCACCATGCAGAGTCTAAATACTATTCCCAAAACAAATAAAAGATTCCAAACGAGAAGTAATATTGAATTGTAGTTTGTGACCACTGACTTGTCATCAGTGACAGGTAGTGCAATGAAAAGGTTACTGCGGGCAGTGACAGGGAAAATGACTGCTTCCTCAAACAAAACAGTACTAAGGTAGTACAAGCAACTACAGGTTAAATGTGATCAAGTAGTTGATGTTTAAACTGTTCCACGTTTTTTTTTTTTTGTACGTTAACTTTGTGCAGGTAGTTGCAAGTTAACTGTGTTATCTTCAAACATCAGACAATTGATAAGCAAAGGATGAAAATACAGACTGAACAATGCGAATTACTCCCAAAAAGATATAACACTTTTGTTGTCTTTTTATTAGTCTAATGTTGAAAAGCGAAGAATCGAACGCTTGCTGCACGATAAGCTTGCCGAATACATTGCAGCCATCGGCCCTTGAAGACTCCGTTTTTCATTTAAAGAAATATATCAGGGGCACCCAACGACTGTTTTCTGTAAAATATTTGTTTGGAGAAGCAAATATTGCCTCGAATTTTGTATTACTTGAGAACGACTAAAAATTTCTAAATGGCCGTTCCATTCACGTACAATTTTCGACGCTTATCTAATAAATTCCTTACGAATTTCCCAAGTTTAATTGTTCACATTTCACTGCCCAGGTTAGGCTATTTTTCGTACAAAAAAAGGAAACCTAAGAATTTTGGATTCACAAATGTGACAGAGAGAGGAATAAGAAAAATTCTCACTTTCGTTATACGTTAAATTACATCTACAATTTTCGGGAAAATAATGCTGAAGCCCTTGTAAATTCGAAGACATAGTTCCTCTAGGATGACCGAACGGGTACAAATTTTATAGCGCCTCTTAAAATGCATTTCTAGAGATCTAAAAGTACTCTGAATAGCCTAGAAAGCGTTTTCAATGTATTTAACAGGAAACCGTCGTTGTGTGCCCCTGATGTTTTCAGTATGTAGCTTGCGTGTTCCTTCTCTACCTTTTTTTTTGTTCCCACCCCTCCAGTCCAGACAACGATTTTACAGTCCGCCAGACTTCGAGAAGGCCATCTCGGGTCGGGTGTTAATGACTCATAGAATGATATACTCTTGAAGAGTATAACGGAAATCAGTTTGAATTGTTTCGTCTAATTATAAACGAACAATTTTGTTGAATGAGGAAGTTAAGAAGCAGTAAAGGGAACACGTTTTGCTTTACTGCTAGTCATGTATGTAACCAGCGCTCAGGCGTTCTTTATCGCGCTCCCATTTATGAAAAGAACGTCTCTGCCATCGCAGAACACATTATACAGAACATTTTCACAATGGCCTCATTCGACACACTAATTGCAACTAGAATTTCCGTTTCTTGTTTACGTCTGGAACTTTGCGAGCCAAACTTTTAAATTTGTATTGTCGGTGATAGACAAGAAAACAAAAAAAGGGAAGAGAACTTAGTAGTTGTAGTCAAATGTCATCGTCCTACAAACTTCGCCGGCATGTGTGGCGAAGTCAGTCTAGATCCAACTCCGGTATTTTGATGTGGTCAAGTTTACGTCGTAACCCCTCCTTGGCATGAACAAAAAACTGGCTTACATAACCAACAATAACTGACGTTAATACTGATTGAGAGAACAAGGACATGAATTCCTTAAGGCGCTCTTTGAATACTGCTCTCCCTCGATCACTTCCCTCTTCCCGGGTTATAGCAGCAACATCACTAAAGTATCGAGGTGAATTGTAATCACGAGGAAGTGCTTTGAGAAGATCTGAGAAACCCTTTCCGATATAGCCCCTTTCGTCAATGTAATCTGTAACGGTCTCCATTATGTATTGGCAGGCAGCTTCATGAACTGCTATTTTGACTGGGTTGGCCACGTCACCGTGGTGTTCCCGTTCAAATTTCTTCTTTTTGTCCCACGTTCTGAGGAAGAACTTGAGAGCCAAACTTTTCTCTTCTTCTGGAAGATAATCAATCAGTTGAATGAAAACAGATTGGAACGCATCCCATTCTCGAACGAGCTTAACATAGACGTCTTCGTCTAGGTCTAATCTATCTAGGTCAGTGATCTGGTCATAAAACTTGGTTCCTACGTCATCCGAGGCTCCTGTAGGAAGGTCATCAATGTTAACGAACAGTTTATTCCACAACGCAGTGAGATCTTTTCCAGCAAAAGCTTCAGGCAACAAGAATTCCAGTACATCTACCACTTCTAGCACTCTGATCTGTCTTGTCGTTTCTCTAACTTCTCCCCGTGTGTGCGGCGTCATCTTCAAACCCTTCGACACTACGAGACTCAACATGTTTTCCACGATGAACTGTCGCAACTTGTTCTTGTGATCAGTTGTGGACAGTAGATTGTATCCTGACAAAAAGAAATTCTTGATATCTCCATGCATAATCCCCTGCAAAACGACATCTAAGGTGTCTTCTACGAGCCAATACTCCTTTCCCTTGGACTCCGCTCCCGCTGCAAAATACCGGGATAGCAAGACGCTCTTGAAAATGTAAGACGGAACCAATGATGCGTCCAAATTGAGCTCTTTTGCGGCCTTATCCCTCACGTACTTTAGTACTCTGTAACATGCTTTAAACCCGTCAGGAGTATCGGACAGGATGTTTCTCTCGACAGTGGAGAATGAAATGCGCCACATATCAAAACCCGCTGGAACGACGTGAAAACCAGCCTTTTCAAGATATCCACTGGCTACAGTCTGTGGAAGTTTTTCTGACAGCCCTACTGGAAGATTTGAAATGGCGTATTCCAGCGCTAGCGTCAAATCAACACTTATTAATAATCCACTGTAACTGCTACCACCGTGCCATACAACTTTTATTGTCGTAGCTGGACCGTGTGATTCTATGTCCATAACCTCAGACTGGCGGCCCTCGCCTCCAACTAAACCAGTGTACACAACTCCCCACGCTCCTTCCTTATGACGTAGTTCTTGTATAGTCATTCCTTTTGGGACATCTATGGTACTCCAAGATTCGTTGACTAGCCTTTTGAAGTGGTGGCATAGCTTATTAGGGCTGAAGAAGCCTTGTTCATCTGTAAATTCCCTCCATTTCTCATCTTGCTGATTGAGTCTCGCGTATCCTGGATTATTTTCGCAGCGAGAAAGGCAGAGTTTGTTGTTGAGATAGTCGGCTCTAAACATGAAGTCAAACTCGTCAGGTTGATCCACTTTTACTCCTTCGTAAATACTTCCGCTCTTGATCAAAGTGCTCTTGAAGCGTTCGTCGCGCTTTTCAACTTATAACTGAATGCTGGATACCAGCATTTCGTGTTTCTGTCGAATAATTCCGGCTTCGTTGTCATCTTTAAACTTTGCTTGCCTTTCAAAACTTACAATCTGATGCATCGTGGTGTTGAAGTTGTTAATTACCGGCAACGTCTACAGCAAAATGCGCATATCTTTGATCCTTTCCCCGTTTTTATCAGGGGTGCATTTTTTCTGTAAAACAAAACAGTTCAGGAATGTTTATTACGTTTTTTATGAACAATCATAGCAAAGAACAGGGATACGCGAGAAAGCCAAGAAACCACAAACCAATTAACGTTGTTGCCTGCGGCTTAAGATTTCCTACGCCTGATGGGTTTTTCCTTGCAATACAATATTAACAGTGATTTACAACTATGATTTTGCAAAAATATTTTGGAAATTTCTTTTGATGGTTTTTTAAAAAATCGCGTTTTCAACCTAAATAAATGTTAATTTGTAGGAAGTATTTTTCTCGCCATTTCTTTCACACTGTGACCCGCACTTGTTCCAGGACACATTGATGGTCACTCTTGATTTGAATTGTGTAGGAACATGGTCTAAAATACGCCTCCAGCGGATTGATGGTGTGGCCATTTGAGGGAATTCTTACATGAAATGCAAGACATTTGAATCAAAATTGTATATTGGGAAATAATTTAATAAAAGAGGAAGGAATAAAAAATTGATTTAACTCCGAAACCACTTCCCTAGCTTGTTGTCTTGAAATGGTATAGTTCTTACTCCTTGTCGAGAAACTTTTTCACTGATTTAAGGATCGCACCCGTGGACAAGTCAAAGCCGCGGTTTGCAAGCTCAATTAGCCAATCTGCGAGCCGGGTTTTCATCTTTTTTTGACAAAACCGGAGAAGGGCCTTTCCGACGGTCAAAGGTCACTCTGCCATTTTGTCTGACCTGAAGTGCTGATTTCTTCATGCGCAGTCCCCCTGTTTGGGCTTCTTTTCTAGCACTAATTGCTCCCTCTTTCACATCTCTCAATCCTTTTGAGCAGTTTTTCAGACCTTTGCAACCCCATTCTAGCAGTCACAACTGGGGGTTTGGATGAGAATTCCCCGTTCAACTCCGACGCTTCCGAATAATACAGTCATGCGAAACAAGCTGTGCACAAGAAATCAATTCGCCTCGGAATGACTGAAGAATATTTTCATAAGGAGTTGAGTAAAATTGCATTATACAGATTATGTTTTATATCCTAAGCTTTAATTATAGTCATATATAGGAAATAAATCTTGTCGGGATAATGTACGCTGCTAATTCATCGATTCTGTACAGCGAACAAAAAACTGGCCGGATACTGGGCACCTGACATCAATACCTAGTGAATGTTTCTGGCCTCGGTTATACCAAACAAATTGAATTTCAAGAATAATTAATGATTTTTCTGACAACTGGCCGACTTCTTTAAGTATCTTCACTTGAAATTTAAACAGTTTCTTTGAAAATACCACATATTACAAACCCTTATTTGAACAGCACTAATTTTCCTGTGCATTAAACAGCGTAAATATTAGCCGCAAAAATTGAGCTTTTGTTTTAAGTGGCCTGGTACTGAGCAACATACTGTACCCTTTTGAAGATTTATTAAGCGACAATTTTACCTATTTGATCACGGTTGTATTATATGGGGATCCTGCTCCAAGAAGAACTCTGATTTTTTAGAACGATTAAAAGCAAAGCTATGAGGACTATATACGGCAAACCACCTGACTTGTTCACTGGGACTTTTAACGCTATCTAGTAAGCGAAGATTTATACGTCTTGAGCTAGGTAAGTGTTCAAAATTGTTAACAATCAGCTAAGTTCCTACGCAACTTATTTGTCCCAAATTGCATGACGAAAAATCATGTAAGTACTTGTTGCGTTCCGGCGAAGAGGATCGCATGCTATTCGAGTCGTTTTTTTTTTCCTTTGGGACTTTCTTTGTCCCGCGGTTTCGTTCTGTACACCATAGCATTTCGGTAAACACTTGTTTGCGTACTCCAAACCGCCCTTTTGCACCTTTTGTGACTATTAATATTTTTTATTCTCAAGAGAGACTAAGAATCAACAGATTACTACAGTCCATTTTACTAAATCATACACGCCTATTAGAGATTTTTTAAAAGCAGTGGTTTCCTAAAAACACTCTTTTACTTGTCAACTATACTTATTTGACATTGAATTTCGCATGTCAAGCAAATATCTAGCCTGTCACGTGACATCCGCCCTCTACTACACAGGCCAACCAGCAGATATCGTTTTAGGACAGTATTTTGCTGAACATCTTGCATCGTATAAGTCTGGAACAACCCTGATTCATGCCCCAAAGTTCCTCGATTGAAATTTTTCTTTATCCTCTCATTCAGGTTTTCTTTATGCTACAATAGTTGCTTCTCCAACTGCGATGATCTTCTTCACATTTGATTCTTGATTCTTCGTTCCGCAATTCTGATATGTCATTATGATATTTTTCGGGCAATTATGACTACGATAAATTTCGTTAAAGAAGCGGTATCGCACAAAAAAGCTTTGGCTTTACTGCCAGTGAAACGTATAAACCTGAGATGATCTGTTCGCCACGCCTACATCTATGAAAAGGACTCCTCATCCTGGAACGCCTACAGTACATTTTGATAATAGCGTCATTTGACATAATATACCACCAGTATTTCAGTTTCGTATTTATGTTTTGAACTTAAAAACCAAAATTAATGCTGGTTTAGACAAGAAAACAAAAAAAGTCGGAAATAAACTGGTAGTTGCAGTGAATGAAGGATTTTGGCTTTAATCGAGATCTACCTCCGGTATGTTGATGTAGTCAAGTTTGCGTCGTAGCACGTCTTTGCTATGAAAGAATATTTGGCTAAGATAGCCAACAACAACTGACGTTAATACTGATTCAGGGACCAATGACATGTACTGCTTAACGCTATCTTTGAATACTGCACGTCCTCGATCACTTCCCTCTTGTAAGGTTATATTGGCAATATCCCGAAGAAATCCAAGGGATCTGTAATCAGGAGGAAGTGCTTTGTGAAGGTTTGAATAACAATTTGCTGCAGTATTGCCCTTTCCGTCAATGTAATTTTCAGCGTACTCCACGATATGTTCACAGGCAACTTCATGAATAGCTAATTGCTGAATGGAGTGGGCAAGGTTATCCTTATGTTCCTGTTCAAATTTCTTCCTTTTTTCCCAGGTTCGGATGTAGAACTTACGAGCCAAAATTTCCAAGTCTTCTGGAAGGACAGCAATCAGTTGGTCGAAAAGATATTCCAACGCAGACCATTCTTGAACGAGCTTTTCATATACATCTTCATCAAGGTCTAACCTATCCAGGTTAGTAATCTGGTTAGAGAACTTGGCTTCATAACTTTCTTCAGAAGGAACATCATAAATATTAACAAACAATTTTTGCCATAACGCAGCAGTATCTCTGCCATTAAGACCTTCAGACAATAGGAAATCCAGGATATCTACAATTTCTAGCACTCTGATTTGCCTTTTCCTTTCTCTAACTTCTTCTTGAGTGTGTGTCATCTTCAAACCCCTCACGAGACTCAACATGTTTTCCACGATGATCTGTCGCAACTTGTTCTTGTGGTCAGTCGTTGACAGCAGATTGTATCCTGACAAAAAGAAATTCTGGATATCTCCATGCATAATCCCCTGCAAAACAGCACCTAAGGTGTCTTCTACCTGTTCGAGCCAATACTCCTTTTCCTGGGACTCCTCTCCCGCTGTAAAATACCGGGATAACAAGACGCTCTTTAAAATGTACGATGGGACTAAGGATGCGTCCAAATCAAGGTCGTTTGTGGCACTGTCCCTCACGTACTTTAAAACTCTGTAACATGCTTTAAACTCGTCAGGAGTATCGGACAGGATGTGTTTCTCGGCAGTGGCAAATGAAATGCGCCACATATCAAAACCCGCTGGAACGACGTGGAAACCAGTCCTTTTAAGATAGCCACTGGCTACAGTCTGTGGAAGCTGGTCTGACAACCCTACTGGAAGCTTTGAAATGGCGTATTCCAGCGCTAGGGTCAAATCAACACTTATAATTAAATCACTGTAACTGCTACCACCGTTCCATGAAACTTTTATTGTCGTAGCTGGGCCGTGCGATTCAATGTACATAACCTCAGACGGGCGGCCCTCGCCTCCAACCAGACCGATGAACAAAGGTCCCCACGGTCCATCTATGGTGCCTTGGTCTAATTCTTGTATGGCCATTCCTTCGGGGACGTCTATGGTTCTCCAAGATTCGTTGACTAGCCGTTTGAAATGGCGGCACAGCTTATTAGGGCTTAAGAAGCCTTGTTCATCTTGAAATTCTTTCCATTTCTCATCATCTTGACCGAGTCTCAGGTATCCTGGATTGTTTTCACAGGGATAAAGGAGAGATTTGTTAGTGAGACAGTCGATTCTGACTTTGAAGTCAAATTCGTCAGGTCGATGAACTTTTACCCCTTCGTATACACTTCCGATCTGGATCAAAGTGCTTTGCAAGCGTTTGTCGCGCTTTGTAACTTGTACCTGAATGCTAGATACTAGCCTTTCGAGTTTCTGTCGAATAATTTCGGCTTCGTTGTCATCCTTAAACCTTGCGTTTCTTTCGAAATTTTCAACAATCTGATGCATGGTGGTGTCCTCAGTAGGTTGTTAACTATACAACGTCGAAAAGCAAAATGCACATACGTTTTTCTCTTTTTAATTTTGGCAGGTCCAATGGATCATTAATCGATTTAATGGACTCACGTGAGCAATTACAGTGTATAGTATCAAAGGCTTGTAGATAAGAGCGATAAAACTTTAAAAAATTGAAAGACTGAGAATGTTTCAATTTCCAAGGTTTGGGCTCCATTAAGTACTGACGCCGTAAAATGGTGCGATTTTGTAAAGAGATAATAACCAATCAAATCTAAGCGTTCCCATCCCCCCTCCACCCGCCCAAGGCTTTTGTCGCGCGTTGTCGTCTTTTTTTCGGAGAAGGCTGTAAATGCTCCACAGTGGGGTTAGCAGATTTATACAAAATCGCCACCTTGGGACTAAGATAAACCTTTTCGTGGCAATATGGGCGTTTAGGAGACTGGTAGAAGTAACGCCAACCTAATTCAGGTAATAAAGAATCTCTATAACAAGGCCGCTAGTACAGTCTACCTTTAATGGTGCCATAGGAGACTGATTCAGGACTATAGTCTAGTCAATCTAGGCATTTTCGAGGCTCAACATCAAATTAATTGCAACAGAATTGTTTTCAACGCTATTTAAGTAAGGGTGGCCTATCTAGCAACATACTAAAAATCCGTCAAAATCCGATTGGTGGAACATGTCAAAATTAAGCGTTAAACATTTTGAGCTTTAAACACAGGGCACCCACGTTATTTGAAATTATGACGCTAAAACAAAAAATGCACAAAATGTGTTTGTTATACTTTTATGGAAAAGTGAAAGAAGAAAGAATAACTGCTACCTATTTTTCGGTGACAAAACGAAGTGTTTATTTTTTAAAAAAGGATAAATATTAAACACGGCCTGGCTTTTGCACAAGAAACCCATGCTCCACTCAAGGAACCCCCAAATAACAGGAGGCTTACAGAGTAAGAGAGTGAACTGTTGGCTGTAAAACTACAACAAATTTAGTCGTAAAGCTTTAAATCTGAAAAATGAGGGCCGTTACTTAATCATTGGCTTTAAAAATATATTCCTTTTTTTAATCAGATTTCTGTTAGCTGCGAGAGTAAGAAAAATATATATCTAGTTGGATTTTTAAGAAGGTTACAGCTAAAACAGAGCTCTCCCATCAAACAGTTTTCTCTTTCAAAAACTATCTCCAAGAAGTCAACATAACAGCTAATACTGCAGCCATTGCTTGTTCTTCTCTTTCTCCTCACTCTCTCTATTTTTCCTTTCCTTGGTCTTGTCTAGGGGGATTTTCGGGTTCATTTTGCTTTTGGTCTTTTTCTTGTCAAAAGACTCCAATTTTCGTTCGGTACGTTTTTAAATATCCAGCAAGGTAATGCTTTGGCTTTTACGGCTACCTATACATTAATCTTCGTTAACGTACTGACATCCTTACTTATGATATACAAGTTTCACTTTTTTGAATTTTTTTGTTTTCCTCTTGTTAAAAGTGAATTGGAGAGGAGGGGAGGATAGTTTTACTAATTTTTAACGATGCACAACAATGCAGAGTTTTTGAGCGGATAAGCTCCAATACCTATGAATTTGATTGGAGGGAATGCGTTTTCATTTAAGGAAAAGTGTTGTTACCTTCGCAAAAAAAATTATAAAGGTTAACGGAACATTCATCGCATAAGAACTTTGGTTCCAGCAAATGTTTGTTTCAAGAAAGCGAAATAGTAAAATAGGGAGGCAGGTTTTTAAGGGAAAAATTAACTCTGGGTAGCCAAAACAATGCGCCTGTAAAAATAAATTGTAAGAGTCTATAGAGAAATGGAAATTCCCCACTCAGAGCATAATTTACGCAACTCAGTGAAAAGGTTAATATGTAGTAAGTTGAAGTGTTGCACAACGCTCATCCGAAGAGAAACAGAGGCTCCGCAAAAAGAGGTGAGCCATTAGTAGCTAAGTAAGGCAAGCCCATTAATGTCGTTCATATGTCCAGTACTTTCGCTCCTTCATTGACCGCTGCAATTATTTTCAGACGTATAGGATTCCATGATCCTATGATCGTTATAGAAAAAGAGGTCTTTAGACTTCATTTGCCAATGGACAGGAAAAACAACTGGTCAAGGTTCAGGGTTGTTCTCACAAAAGAAATGCAAGGAGAGAATATAAACGCCTAGAGACAATAGAGCGATTACTCTACTTATTCAACTTACCAGGAAATGAAGGGCTGGCGCTGAAAATGCAAACTAAACATACAGATACACTAAACTAAATCTGAGACTCGCTACAACAGGAAGATAAAACTGGAACAATCAAACTGCGCTTGGTTTTCTGAATTTCCCTTACAACAGATTTGGCCAGGTGTAATGAAAAGCGCAGAGTGTTAAGATCTAGCAAAAAAATAGACGGAGTCCTTAGCAGAATATTTATTCACTCACATTGTAAAGCACGGAGTCATAATCCTAAAGGAAGTTGCGCATGTCGCGAGAAAAGAGAAGAATCCCTGTTTTTGATCACACATATTGTGTCCAAGATTTGAACATAACTACTTCACAAAACTCGATTACGTACAGAAAAATGTAATTTGTGATTACACCGTATTATCATAAATTACTATTTTGCCGGCACGTATCAGAGGTCTGGGGAGGGTGTTAGTGCGCAATGAGTCATGGGATTCGAGTTTGTAATTCGTGGTCGATAGGAAGGTGAGGCATTCTACGGTCAGCCTTCACCGTGTTAGGTTGCTTTTCTCTCTTCTTTTTTTTCTGCTTTTCATGTTTATTCAGTTTACATTATGGATGAGTCGAAAGTTAGAGAAATAGTGGCCCACAATAGCAAAGAATTGCTCTCCCAGATCAAAGATTTGGTTTCTTCTTCAATTTCCGACCTCAAGAGGTCCAGTGATGCCAACTCCGCCGAGCAAATGTCGGAGATCAAGAGGTTGAAGAGAGACGCTCCACCATCTT